TATAATATACACAAATAAAAAACAGAAAATAAAATGAATAATATAAGAAATTAATAAGATCTTCCAAATCACCATGGTCTTGTACAGCCTTTTATGTTAATAAACATGCTGAAAAAGAAAGAGGTGTACCTAGATTGGTAATTAATTATAAACCTTTGAATAAAGTTCTTAAATGGATTAGGTATCCTATTCCTAATAAAAAAGATTTATTAGATTGAATTCTTACAAACATTAGAAGGATTTGAATCACATAAATGGTATACAAATATTAATCTTTTAATTGGAAATTCTTATAAAAAGCAATTTGAATTAATCCTATATGAAGGTAATTATATTTTTCTTGATATTTAATAATATCTTCTTGATTTAATAATTTAATAATCATTTCATTTTCCTACATAGAAAGATTTTCTTCAGTAGTTTTAACTGACTGAATAAAACCTAATTCTTCAAAAGTACCTAATTCATATAAAATTTTAGGTTGTATTTTTGGAATTGTCCATTTATTTAATAGATCTAAATTCTTTGGAATTTCATATTCTTCAATTAAGCCATTTTTAACATTATTTTTAGTTTTCTTATGGAAAACTTGAAATAAATTCATGATTATGGAAAGTGTTAAATAACCTTTAGAAGTCAAAGAACAAATATACATGGCTCTGATACCATACAGGGGCTTCACACACCTTTTCCTGATTAAACCACATATTAATCGAGTCATGAGATTTTCAAATCCAACAATAATCTGTAAACAAAATGATACTAGTCCGAGTCAATGACTTAACGGCCTTAAAACACCTTCACATGGCTAACAACGGCCTAATGCACGACTTATGGACATGAATCATTATGTTTTCAGATTATTGAGGTTATCTCAGACTTTGATTAACTCATGATTTAACCAGTATAGTAGCCAGGACTATATATATTTGTCTTCTTCATCTAAAGATTATTTAACACAGAGATTTAGCCTGTCATTTAGGCTAAATACCTCTTAATATATACTAAATATAAAACAAAATAAAGAAAGAATACTTACAACGAAAGAAGAAAAGATTGTATGCTGAAAGCTTTATATATTAAACACTCTAAATATTACAGAGAAAGTTTTTACAAGGGAGAGAGGATGGCTCCAGAACTCTTACCTAAATTAAACTACTAAGGTCTTTTTATAGACCCGGACTTCAAACTAATATCAAATTCAATCTGATATCAGATAAAAGAGAGGTGAATTATTGCACCTCAATAATTACAAGAATACAAAAAACTTTATAAAAGTTGTCATAATTGATGGGGGTCCACCACATTATAAGGGTGGTGCAAAAGTCTTCATCTGGGACCCACTGTCACATGATTATGTCTTTGGTTCCAGAGCATTCTCCAGTCTTCTGAGGCTTCATTATGGAAGTCTTGATTACTGAGAAAATATCATCGATAGATAAATCTTCTTCATTTGGGTCTTGAGATTCACCAGCTAAATATTGAAACCTATTTTCTCCTTCAACAGACATACTTGAAGCAGCAGAATTGGGTCTTGATTGAACTTTTTGATCTAAATATTGATGCAGATCTTTTTGAACTAAATTCAAATATTCTTCAAGAATTTCATTATGAGATAACTCCTTGCCAGTTTTCTTCATTTGATCCATAATTTGTGTCATTGGACTAAGAGAAGAGACTGTCATAAATTGTCCCTGAGCTTCTTTAAATCTTTTCTGCTCTTGATATGAAATAATTTTCTAATGAATATTATTCACTGTATCTTGAGAATTTAGAACCCCATCTTTATCTTTCTTCATCATCTTGGACCAGAATTTTGTAAGATATAATCTTTTCAACA